TGGGGTTTCTTTTCTGCCCTGCAGAGGTTTCTTTTCCTGCCCTGCGGGGTTTGTTTTCTGCCCTGCAGGGGATTCTTTCCTGCCCTGCAGGGTTCTTCTCCTCCCCTACAGGGGTTTCTTTCCTGCCCTGCGGAGGTTTCTTTTCTGCCCTGCCAGGGTTCCATTTCCACCCTGCGCAGGCACCCTGTGCAGTGTTCTCCCTGTGCAGGGTTCTTCTTCCACCCTGTGCAGGGTTCCTTTTCCACCCTGTGCAGGGTTCTTTGCCACCCTGTGCAGGATTCCTTTTCCACCCTGTGCCCTGTGCAGGGTTCTTTTTCCACCCTGTGCAGGGTTCCTTGTCCACCCTGCGCAGGCACCCTGTGCATTTTCTGCCCTGGGGTTTCTTTCCTGCCCTGCAGGGGTATCCTTTCCATCCTGAGGAAGGTCCTCGTCGAACTGCAGGAGTCACTTCTTGACCCTACGAGGGTTTCCTTTCTGCCCTGTGTGTTTCCTGTCCACCCTCAAGGGGTTTTCTTTTCTGCTCTGCAAGTCTTTTTTGCGCAGGGGTTTCTTTTCCTGCCCTGCAGGGTTTCTTTCCTGCCCTGCTGGGGTTTCTTTTCTGCCCTGCAGAGGTTTCTTTCCTGCCCTGCTGGGGTTTCTTTTCTGCCCTGCAAAGGTTTCTTTCCTGCCCTGCGGGGTTTGTTTTCTGCCCTGCAGGGGATTCTTTCCTGCCCTGCAGGGTTTTTCTCCTGCCCTACAGGGGTTTCTTTCCTGCCCTGCAGGGTTTCTTTCCTTCCCTGCGGAGGTTTCTTGCCCGCCCTCCAGGGGTTTGCCTTTTGCCCCGTAGGGGTTTGTTTTCTGCCCGTTTCCAGTCCACCCTGACCAAGGTCCGCGTCGCACTACCGGAATCCTTGAAAAGTCAGGATCGTATCTATGTGGGGTTGCACAGGGTGCCTGCACCCGTGTGGAAAAAGAGCCCTGCGCAGGAAAAACAGGGCAGAAAAAGAACCCTGCACAGGGAGAACCCTGCGCCGGGTGCCTGCGCAGTGTGGAAAACGAAGCCTGCGCAGGCGGAAAAAGAACCCTGCACAGGGTGGAAAAGGAACCCTGCACAGGGTGGAAAAAGAACCCTGCACAGGGTGGAAAAAGAACCCTGCACAGGTGGAAAAAGAACCCTGCACAGGGTGGAAAAGGATCCCTGCACAGAGTGGAAAAGGAACCCTGAAAAGGAATCCTGCACAGGGTGGAAAAGGAACCCTGCACAGGGAGAACCCTGCACAGGGTGCCTGCGCAGTGTGGAAAAGGAACCCTGCACAGGGGGGAAAAGGAACCCTGCACAGGGTGGAAAAAGAACCCTGCACAGGGTGGAA